ATGGGTTTTGAAAAAGGCATAATGTCACGCATCCATCATAGATGGGGTGATCCATGCCAGGTATAGCAATGGGAGGTTTAGATGTTCCTTCCTGCCCGATACACCTGCAAATACGACTCCTGTGCCGTCATCTCCTTTTTAGGGATCCGAAGAATCTGCTGTGTGACCCTAGACAAATAAATCTATGGGGGAAGATGTTTCCTTCCCTTTTGTCTAGGCGCAGGTATTGGGTGCTTGGTACTTAAGGGAGTATCAGCTCGTGGCTCAAAGGTAGAATTTAAAAGGAACTTCCAAGCTGGAGAAATACCAGACTACACCGCACAGAGGGGAGCTGGGTGAGGGAGGCACCTGCTGGTGTGAGCAGTGGCCTGGCGGCAAACAGTGGTCTCTTACCGATGGAAAAGGGCACAAAAGCATCACTCTTCTTAAATTGCCCCTTCTCATCCAGGAAGTGCTGGGGATTGAAGTCCTGGGGGTTGGAGAAGAACTTGGGGTCTTTCAGCACAGAGCCCAGCATAGGGAACACTTCAGTGCCCTGGGAGGGAGGAGGAAGGTATATGTGATGAGGCAGGTTGGGGGATTGGTGAAAGTACACAGGGGCTGGAGGGGGAACTAGGGTGCCCCAGGTAAGCGGAAGTGGCAGGCATGGAGGAGTTGGGGACCTCTGAGGGAGGAGCCTTGGGGGATAGAAGGTTCACATCTCCGAAACAGGGAGTTTGGGAGACATGGGGTCCATGTCCTGCTAGGCAGGGTGTTTGGGGGACCTGAGACTTGTGTCCCTAAGCCAAAGGCCTAGTGGAAAGGGGGCTCCTGTTTCTTAAGACAGGAAGTTTGGGAACATGGGGTTGATTCTCCTGATACAAAGAGTCTGGGAAGATGCAGGACTCAGGAGTCTCTAAGTGGGAAGGTGGAATGGATGTGGTGGTGGGGGAAGTCCTTTTTGACTGATTGAGGAAGTGGGACAGGGTCTAGAAAGCTTCTAATGGGGGTGGGATGTTGGGGACACAGAGAGGGGCTGGAAGTCCCCATAGTCTGGGGGGATGGGGAGGGTAGCACCTTAGGGAGGAAGAAATCCCGAAACTTGGTGTCCTTGTTGACCCTGCGGGCCAAACTCATGGGGATCACATTTCCAAATCTTTGGATCTCATGGATCACTGCCTCCATGTAGGGCATCTTGACCCGGTCCTCAAACTTGGGCTGCTGGTTCTTGCCGATCACTCTGTCAATCTCCTCATGGACCTTGGCTGGGGGAGGATGGGGAAAGCGTTTGGGTATCTAGAGGTCTCAGGGCAGGGATGATAGTCCGAATAGGTAAAACGGGGTGGATGACAGGGCTCCACATATGATTCAGGGGTAGACCATTCATAACAGACCTCAGCCATTCTCATTGTTGGAGTAGAATCCTGTTAACCAGACTGTGCCAGAATCACAGGGGAGGCACAGAGAGGAACTTAGGGGATGATCTGGAGGAGCAGGTAGCAGGGCACTCAGTGGGCTTGGGACAGGAGTGACTGACCAATCACTGCAGACATTTTCAACATTTTACCAACTAGTGAGACTCAGCTGATTCCTATCAGCTGAATATTGCCCTGTCTCTGGACAGCAAAGCACGTCTCAGGGTCCTGGGATCTGGGACAGGTGGGGACATTGCACCAGGGTCAGTGGAGTTTTGAGGGTCTGGGGCTCTCCACTTCCCTCCCCCTCCAGCCTTACCC